CCGTGAGCTACTTTTGCCAGTCACCATGTCACACCTCTGAACCCCCAGCTGGGAAGACGGCAGGGATGTGGTTCTTGTGGCTAATGGGAGCAAGGGAAGAAGGAAGGTATGACCCCTGCATCAAGTTCCTGGACATAGAACAGATTGATTTCCAGCGGCTGCCGGGGCAGCAACAAAAGGGCTCTCCTTTTTAATCAGCGCCAGGAAGACCACAGCACGTTTCTCATAAAAATCCCCCAGCTCTCTGTTTTCTCCTAATGATTTGCAATGCTTTTCTCTAGGTTTCCAGATCCATTGCTGGGCACTTCCATTGTGTTCCAGCCTGGCTCACACTGTCACAATGTCAAGTTGTGTGTCAGCATCAGCCAAAACGAAAAGGTGAGATGCTACCCTGAGACCCCAAACACTGCACCAGTATCTTGTTGGGCGCTGGGGTTGCAAGCAATGCATACCAAGTTTTTTATCTTTAAAGTTTTAGATGCTGAGAGATTTTCTTCATGATCTTTCTAAGGACTTCCAAATAAAACTTCCTGGGTAGATACAAAATGGTTACTTACAACTGGGAGTAAGTTACAAGAGAGAGATTGTATGCCATACACTACAAAGGAGAATAAAACATTCAGGAGTAACCTGACAAACAGTGAGAGCATGGTGTAGTGGGAAAGCATGGAACTCGGAGTCCAAGCTTCCACCCTGGCTTTGCCCTTAAGTTTGGGCAAGACAGTGAAACTCCCTCCCTGAGCCTCCATTTCTTCATCTGCAAAGCTGAGATCAAAATAATCTATTGTCTAAGGCTCTTTTGAGGGTTGAATTGCACACAGAAGAGAGCTAAGCGGGTTTCCCAACACACAGTGTGTGTTGTTTAAATGTTTGTTGAATGAGTCAACAGATGGGAAAAAGGAGTGTATTACCAGAAAACAAAGCCTGATCCTGAGCAGGAAGCAAACTGTGAAAAAGGAACAGCACAGGCTTTGGAGTCAAACGGAGCGAAATTCCCATCCCAGTTTTTCTTTCAATATCCCTGAACCTCAATTTCCTGTCTCCAGTAGGAGTGTGGTCATAGAAATATAAATTATCAACTCATGGAGTTACTGCAAGCCTTCAGTAGTATTGTGGAAATCCTTAAAACTGCAATGGGTAAGTTGTATTTCATCCAGTGGTACATCCCTCTACTTTAGGGGTGGGGAATGTCTGACCCGTGGGCCCTATCAGCCCCACAAAATCATCTGTCTGGTCCTGCCAAGGCCACTGCAGATGGACCTCAAAATCCAATAACTCTCTAAAGCAGGCTAATTTTTAAGTTGATAATTTTGGCCCACAAATGCTGTTGCAAATGTCCAAATGGCCCTTGGTAGAAAAAAAATCCCAGCCCTGTCCAACTTCATTCAGTTCCTGGGGTCAACAGGGCTACCCAGCTCCCTAGTGTAGCCAGGAGCAGACACAGGACCCTCAGATTCTGCATGTCCACATGTTAGGGGAGAAGATGGTTATCTCCAAAAAGAGCTACCATGTTTTCTTCTCAAAGGTGTGTAGTTCTGGTGGTGAGACTGTGTGCGCGTGCACATGCGTGCTTGTGTGTGTGTGTGTGTGTGTGTGTGTGTGTGATGGGGGGATGTGGTCATGGGAGCTCTGTCAACATCAGGTCTCTGTGTGGACACATCTGTGTATACAGATTGTAAAGTGCTTTCAGATTTTTTTCACGGCAAAGATAAACTCGTTTAATTTAAAGTCATCAGCTGGATTGCATTAAATGGAGGGAAAAGCAAAAAAATGTACACAATATAGCCATTTGTTAAATTAAACACAATTATTTCTCCTGTTACTTAATTACAAACAGACATAAATACTCGGGATTCTGACATCTCAGATCTTCTTAAATTCTAGATCTGTACTCTGCCATGTAACAGAGGGAGGGTCATATTCCAATTGCTGTGTTAAGCAAACCCAAGAGTTACAATTGTATACTGGGACCCTAATGACTTCACTAAAACAAGACCTAAACTTTTAATTAACCTGCCAAGACAAATTACAGCTCACAGCTCACAGGTAACGATCACAGACAGCTAAGACTCAACGCCAGGGACCCTTGGGGAAAGAGGGATTAATAGCAACTTCAGAATTGGTCTGTTTTTGTATTAGAGGGAAAAAAACCAATATTCATTAAACAATCACCACAGCTTGAAGGGAGACAGACAGGTCAGAAAGGCAGCCAGAGGAATGTGGAAGGAGGTGGAGGTGGAGGAGGTGGAGGTGGAGGAGGGAGGAGGATGGGAGAGAACATGAATGCCTTCTAGTTGTCCAGTGCTGCTGGTGACCAAACCCTGTACTAGGCCCTTAATACCCCTGTCTCTGATCTTCATAATGGGGACTGCAAAGTGCTATTATTCCTCCATTTTCCAGGCCAGAATAATGAGGCTTGGAAAGGTGACGTATCTTTCCACCATCACAGAGCCAAATGGGACAGTAAGGGAAGGCAGGAATGGAATATGGTTCTCATGGGGTACTGGTTTTCCAAGCTTGGACAACACAACATCAGAATCAAGAGTTCCTAGTCTCTGCTTCAGGCCACTGAGTCAGAATTTCTAGAGAAATTCAGGGACCTGGATGCTGACTGACCCAACCTCTCGAGCGATTCCTTTGTTCAACAGTGTTTGGGAGCATCCACAAAGTGCTCTAACTTCTTGCTACATCAGTGTCACTGGTACAGATACTTGGGTCCATTTAGACCTGCTGAAGCAGGATCTGCATTTTACCAAGACCCCTGGGTGGGTCATGAGCACTTTAAAAGCTGAGCAGCACAGCACAGCCTATATGTGCCAAAACAGGCATCTGGCTCAGCGGTAAGGACGCACAGGAGGCGATCTGGGTTTGAGATCCCACTCTGCTTCCAATCCAGTTTCCTGGCAGCGCAGAGCCTGGGAGGCAGCTGGTTCTGGCCCAAGTACTTGAGTTCTGTCACTCACTTGGGAGACCCAGATGGGGTTCCAGCCTAGCCCAGCCCTGGTTGTTGTAAGAATCTGGGAAATGAACTGGCAGATGGAAGATTTCTCTGTTTTTCTCTCTCTGTCTTGCTTACAAAAAAACACTATAGGGTTAAGAGGAAGTGAAGCCAGGTTTCATCATTTGGAGAGAGCAGAGGAGCTGGAGGGAAGAGCAAGACCATCTCCCCAGTTATGACAAAACAGGTCAGCAAGCTCTGACAAGCCACGAATTGGCCAAGGGACCTTACTGTAGACCTTTGTTTTATTTCTCCAAGATGCATATCCTAAATAAAAGTATCTTTCTTTGGGGGTCATATTAACACCTTTTCTTATTTATACTCAGTCATTAAAAGAAATGCTGACTGTGAAAGTGCTTCTGTGTAAGTGCCATATTCCTGGGGAGTTGCCTGAGAGCAAAGAGACTATGGGACCATGAGGCTGTAACTCGGGCACCACCACCAGCTTGGTGGTTATGTCCTCGCTGTGTCCAGAGAGAAAGGATGCCTGCACCAACCCTGCAGAATGCCAGTCTCCTTGAGCCCCCAGTGCCAGGGAGCTGGTCTATGCCCCAGCCTCTACATGACCATACCCAGGAAGCAGCAGCCCCAAATTCCAGAATCTTCAGACACAAAAAGTTGGAAAGCTTAAGTGAATGATGCAAGGGCAGGACCTCAGGTGGCAGGAGAGATTCACAATGGGGCACGCTGTCCACACACTTCACAGCAAGACGGTGGGGGTGGAAGTCACCACCCATCAGGGCCAGGATGAGTGCTGAGTCCCTGTTCTTCCGATACCTGGAGAGCAGAGGCTCATACGGGTAGCTCCGACAGCAGGAGCCAGTCCAGTGGCCGCCACCTCCTTCACTTGGCCAGGAGGGTAGAATACTGGGCAGCATTCAGAGTGGGAGCTCATTAATCGGGACCCACATGTAATGGGAAAATAGCCTCTGACTCAACATTGAGGGCAAAGTTGCAAATAGGAGGAAGGTAGCCAGAAAGTAACGACTGCTGTTTCCAAGGAAGAACCACAGCCTTCCCGAGGTTTGGAAATCTGGTACAAGCTTCAGAGGTTTCCATGAGACTCGGGTTTTGCACGTCAGAGGCCCTCCCAGCCAAGGACAGAGACAGAGTTTCAAGGTGAACGCTAAAACACATAGAACTTTCCCGTGAGCCCACCCCAGCATCCTGGGTAATGGAGTTCTTTTTTTCTATAAGTTATTTTCCTGTAAGGGAAGCTTTTGCCAGGCTGTGTTGTAGTGTTTCTGGTGTAATCTAGAACGTCTCTGACCTGCACCACCACGCCCATCACATCCTGGAGCAGGACACAGACTCTACGGAATGTGTTGGCAAGGAAGAGAAATTCTTCCAAGTGGGGTGATGAGGTTACGGAGATGGCCACTGGCTTCCAAGGTGCACTGGGCCCTAGTCCCTCTTTCTGCTGTGAGGGGTACCTTAAGCTGTTAAGACCCAATTCTCACGTCAGGATGTGCCTTGTCTGTGAACAGGACATCCCCTACTATAACTGCACTGCCCCCGTAGCTCTCTGCAGGGCTGGCGCCAGCCTCCCTTCAGATCTTCATCTCCTTTCATCACCCCTGCCAGGGGTTGTTGGCTCCCAAAGCAGAACAACACAAACAAAAGCCCAAGTCAAAATCCAAAGCAGAGGCACCAACAATGAGTGAGCTAAACCAAGTGAGGCTGTCGAGACAAGCAGGTGGCAGCCAAGAGCCTTAAGACAGATGCTGCCTGTGTGGCTGGTCGTTGGGAGTCCCGTCTCATGTGGTCAGTCCTGCCCAATGCAACTATTGGTACCCTGGGCTCCCATGCCAGCCCCGCCTGTCACTCCCTCCTCTGTACCCCATGCGTCTTCCCTGTCCAGCAAGCCCAGTGAGGACAGCCTCCCACTGGACTCCAGCTGGCACCCAGCCCTCCAGGCAAGACACATTCCCTAGTAGGCATCAGCCCCCAATGGCCCCAAGCCTCCCCCAGCCCCAAGAGACCCAGAGGGTAGAGCTCATACCAATGGCAGTGGTGAGAAAGGACACCACTTCAGACTCCTTCCCGTCGTTGTAAAACGCCAAGTGCCAGATTCCCGAATCCAAGTACTGGATGAAGCCGGTCTCGTGGCTGGATGGGGGCACCACACCCCGAGACTGGCGCTGGGGTCCCTCCAGGCTCCGTGCCTCCTGGGTCAGCAGCCTCCTGCCATCCAGCAGCTCCACAAAGTCAAACTATAGCAGAGAGAGAAAGAGGGAGGGGGGAGGACATGATGAGCATCAGCCCTGCTCCCGCCCCAGTTCCCTCTCCAGGCTTTGCCATGGAGGACCCAGGAAGCAGAGACAGAGCAGCTGAAGCCGCGGAGGCTGCTAACGGACCCTGCCTTCTCCTAGAGCCCATTTTGTTCCCAGTCTCCTGACTCTCCTCTGAGGGTGCTGTGCTCAGTGAACGCGTTTGTGTGTCTCAGCTTTGTTTCAATTGTGTTGTGTGGGTGACTGTTCCCTGGCCGAGTTTGCACCAGGACAACCATGCTCAGTCACCGTGGGGTCTGTGAGCAGAGACCCAGCCTCTGCACGACTATCTGAATCCCAGGCAAGCAGTGATGGGCATCTGGGTAGACGGGAGGGGAGGGGTTCCCAGGACAGGGGCTGGATCTCTGGAGGTGATTTGAACATCAGCCCTGTGCAAATGGAAAGTTCATTTTTATCTGTTTTTCCAATGGGCTTTTCTTAAATGCTCCAGTTTCAAGGAACAATTTTAGGGGAACTACACTGGATTAGCTCAGAACTCTGTCGATAATTGCAGACCGTTTCAAATACAATCTGGGCCTGCAAGCGTGACAGTCCAGAGGAACCAGCGCCCACTGTTAACAACAGGTAGGCGGTTAAGTCTTACTGGCTGAAGAGCAAGCAAACTGAGTAGTTATCTGTCTAGATTTAAAAAACAAACAAACAAAAGGCAGATACTGCTTCTATTTCAATTAAAACCTTCCAGAAATCTGAAATCCAGGGCTGGGTGTGGCACCTCTGCCAAGTCACCAAGGCTTGGGCTCCCTCTGTGGTTCTGTGGCTCCATCTTTGGTAAATGTGTCTGTTAAGCCTTGAGCTGCAAACCATCAATAACTATGGGGCAGGGAAGACTGCACTTGACCTGGGTATGCCAGACGGATGCTAAGGGCTTGTATTACTCTATTTCAGAGCTAGGAAGGCCTTGTGCCACTCTCCCTCCTCACCCAACCACGACTGGTGGCATGTCAGCCGTCCTGGCCAAGTTTTCTGCAGGGTTTCTGGTGTGCATGTGTCTTGGTAAATGTGTAATCCTGCAGGCGAGAAGGAATTCAAGAGACTCGGGAAATCACATCTATTCTCAGCCAGGCCCTGCACTAGCTGCCTTATAAATGTTATTTGTTGTTCTTCACAACAGCCCTGCCAGAGTGGGTGCTGTTATCACCATTTTATAGATGAGGAAACCTGCTCCGAGAGGATCAGTCATGGGCCCAAGGTTACACAGCTGATAACACGAGAATTCAAATTCAGCTCTGACTCCAAAGCACATGAGGGTTTTTTTTTTTTTTCCCTCTCCCGATCGCATTTCTTGGGTAATTTAACTTAGGAGAGTGGGTGATAGCAGAAAGGCTATTGGAAGTTTCACCGAATGCCTTCCCTTTGAGAAGCCCCATGGATTTAACTTTTCTTCTCCGACAGGCAGGGTCCGAGAGGGGCAAAGGCTGAACGGGCTATGAAACACATGAAATTCCCAACTCCCCTCAGGCTCAAGGATCCAGGCTGGGCGTCCGGACGAGGGGTGATGATTTGAGGTGGGACCGACGGGCACGTGGGGCTCTGCTCACCTGCGTGTGTGAAGGAGGGAGGCCTTTCCTGCCGTAAATGCCGACCAGAGCCGCCTTTCCCAGGGACACGTTGAATTTCAGGTGCACGGGGTGGTCTATGAACACCTGAGACCTCCAGAAAGTGCCAGGAGGAATCTTCTGGGACGCTCGTCTCCCCACGTCGATCTCTCCAGAGTCTATGAAACTGTCCTCTGGAAAGGAGCTACTGGGCTTCCCTGGCAAGACACAGGGAGGGGAAGACAAAGGCAGTGGTGTTAGCCATGTGGGAATCCAGGGCCCAGAGCACCTGCATGCCCAGGCCCTGCCCAGCCTCACTCCTCCACGAGGCTCTGCTGCCAGCTCCCTGCACCCCCACCCCCTCACAGCCAGGGGAGCGGGAGAAGGGCCAGGTCCAGAACATTTTTTTGCCCCCTAGTGATGCTCCAATTGTTCTGCTAAAAATATGTATTCTTCCAAAGCAGTGTGGGTCCTCCCTAAGGGCCATCTGTGTACTGCATAATTCCACAGTATGTGAAGATATATTTTGATCCTAAAAATAATCATTTGCAGTTACATGAGAGTAGCTGTGATTCTGTGTGTGTGTGCGTGTGTGCATATGTGTGTGTGTGTAAAAGGCTGCATGGTGAAACAGAGGAAAGAGGAAGCAAGGTGCTGTTAGAAAATTCACAACTGAGAACCCTTCCTCCAGCAACGGGAAGCTCGACTGGGGTGGGGTAAGGCATTTTAAAAGTTCACCCTTTCGGGTTTGAATTGGAAATCGAATTCCAAGAGGGGCTTGTGCTTGGGGGCAGGGAGATGGTTTGGGAGACAGGGAGAAGAGGGTGGAATGGTTCTGAAGACCACTTGTTGGTCTCTGGATGGGTGGACACCATCTGTGTGCGACTACAGGTCAAGGTGAGAGAATCTCCCAAGGTCGTCCGCAGAGTCTGCATCACACCAGGACTTCCAACCCAGGCCCCCAACCCTGTGCCCAGCATCCGCTCTGGGCATCAGGAGTCAAGTCTCTTGCCCATTTCTGTTCCCAGTCAGGAGTGTGACGGCTTTCTGTGGGCACCACAAGTGTGTCAGGAAGGAAGGCTGCTTAGCACGCTTGCTCTACCTAGTAACCGAACACTCACACTAGGAACCCCAGCTTCCTGCCACTCCCTTCCCAGCCTTTCCGAGGAGTGAGGAGGCAGCAGGAGACTGCAGGGACATTGGGAGGCCACCCTTAGCATAGGAGAGGCCCAAATCAACAGACTGTACTTTGCTTGTCCTGACACAGGACCCACCCTGGATGCTTGGTTCCATGGTTCCATGGTCCTTTCTGTCCTTTGAGATGATCGAAGACAGCCTTTCGAGAACAAGAATTCATTTGTAAAGAAAACACATTTGTGGGACTTTTTATGAAAAGCATTTGGAGAATAAGAAATTAAAATGTCTTTTTTTCCCCCTTTCTAGTTTTGTAAGACTCCTTACAAAGCACATTTGATGCAGAAATGGAGCTTGGCAGGACATTGTAGTCATAAAATATTTTACTGTTTTAAATAATAAAATTCAATTTAAATGTTAAACTTCTCCATATGTTATCATTCCCTTATAAACTCCTAGGCAGAAACATCAGGTTTTTAGTCTCAAACTGTTAAATGTTATTTTAATTAAAAATGTGCCAACAAAAAAAGTTAAAATGCACGCTCTATCAGTACAAGTCCCACTGGTGTTCTGTCATTAGCATGGGAAGAAGTTTGCATCTCATTCCTTGATGGGAGGAATGTGCCCCAGACTCTTACCTTGGAAACAGAGACACGTGAACCACCATACTGGGGGTCACAAAGTTCAAAGACAGGAGCCGAATTCACAGGCATTAAGATGGGTGAGAAGTACCTGGTCTCCTTGTTTGATCAGTGGGTTTCTACTACCAAGCCCTTTGCTAATACATGAGGCATGCCCTCAGCTTCTAACGCCACCATGGAGGAGAACTAAGGGGAGTAGGAACCAAAGCAGGATGCATTTTAAACCTTCGGCCCCTAGACATCGCCAAGCACGCAGCACAGTGCCGCTAATTCCAAGGACTCGTTTCCTTTGTGAGTAGGCGAGAGGCAGAGATGATGGGATTTGAGAACTGTCTGCATTCAGATAATTCCTATGGCTGGAAAGAAATAATGGAAAACTGCTCTGGGTTTCAGCAGGCTGCTGAAGACGCCTGCTCAGTCCATTTTCTCCTCCAGTGAGCAGAGTTTCGGCAGACAGCAATGGTCTCTGCCAAGTTCTGTAGTCTTCCAGGTTGGAGGCCAAGCCCAGGCCTCCCTTTCCAGGGTGAAGGCCCCAGGAGCAGGAGTGAGCGAGCACTCATCCTCGAGGAGGTGGCCGTGGGGACGTTTCTGGTTCTCTAGTATTTCCCTAGTGGGTCTGTTAGGAGAGGGAAATCAACTTTGGTGTGATAGCGAGTTCTGGTCCAGGGTGTACCCCACCAGGACCTGACTCTGTGAGGGCCTCTGGCCCCCAGGCGTCCTCACACTGAACCAACCGCAGGGATGGGATGGGCGCTGTGCAGGCAGAAGAGTCAACAGCTCTTCCCCTGTGGATGCTCTGCCCATCACCTTTACTGGGTTCTTGAGAAAGCAGCAGGAGATTGGCTGGGCTGAGGGCTGGCAGACGGAAACAGCTCCCTGCTTTCTTCCCTATTAGAAACCCTCTCTCCTGGGGCCGGTGCTGTGGTGCTGGAGGTTAAGACATTATGTACAGTGTCAGCAATCCCCACGGGCACCAGTTCGAGTCCTGGCTGCTCCACTTCCCATCCAGCTCTTTGCTAATGTGCCTGGGAAAGCAGTGGAGGATGGCCCAAGTATTTGGGCCCCTGCACTCACTTTGGAGATCCAGATGAAGATCCTGGCTCCTCACTTTGAATTGGCCCATCTCCAGCTGTTTTGGCCATTTGGGGAGTGAACCAGCAGATGGAGGATCTCTCTCTCTCTCCCTCTCCCTCTCTGTCTATAATTCAGACTCCTTTTTTTAAAAAAAAAAAAAATATTTATTTATTTATTTGAAAGTCAGAATTAAACAGAGAGAGAAGGAGGGGGGTGGTGGTTTCCATCCCTGGTTCACTTCCCAAGTGGCTGCAATGGCCAGAGTTGCGTCAATCCAAAGCCAGGAGCTTCCTCAGGGTCTCCCATGTGGGTGCAGGGGCCCAGGGACTTGGACCATCTTCTACTGCTTTCCCAGGCCACAGCAGAGAGCTGGATTGGAAGTGGAGCAGCCGGGAATAGAACTGGCACCCATATGGGATGCTGGTACTGCAGGCAGTGGCTTTACCTGCTATGCCACAGTACCGCCCCTAATAAATAAATCTTAAAAAAAGAAACCCTCACTGCTTTCCTCCTTCCAGATCCTCTAAGAATCTTTGTAATATTTGAGCACCAAGCAGAAGCACTAGGATGTAAGTATCTTACTAGAAAGCAAGTCCCACCAATGGCGGAGGAGCGAGAGAGGGGACACAGTAGAGGTGGAAGGGAAAAGTCCTGTGCATAGAATTCTTCTCATCTCTACCTACATTCCAGAAAATAATGATAAATACTAGTAGCATGAGTAGTAGCCAAGGTGGAAGTAGTAGAACTACGAGTAGTAGAATTACTAGTAGTATTTAATGAGCATTTAATGAGCTCCAACTACCCTGGCAGGCATCTTCATTAATTCAGTTAATTCTCACAACACCTAGTGGAGGCTCATAATGCTTAAGGAGCCATTTTGGGAGGAAGTCATTGGGGGTTCTTCTTTATTTATTAGACTTTGGCTTCTCAGAGGATTAAACTGATGAATGACTCATTAAAACTCTACAAAGACACTCTCGCTGGTGGCAGGGTGCACTGACCCTCTTAGAAAGCAAGAGCCCAGTTGAATTCATAGCCTCAGCAGGGGGAAAAAAAAAATCAAGGCTCGATTCAAGTATATACGAGGCCCATTTAAGAACTTCCTGGCATCCCAGGGTGCATGAAGTTGGTCATTTTTATGAATTAGAAACCTGCCAAGAGCTCTCCCAGAGTTAAAGGCAACAGCCAGGGCCTTGAGACAATCACGAGGAGAACACTATTACCACCATGGGTGTCCCCGGAGGCTTCCCAAGCAGTACAAAGAGCTTAGCTCAGAATCAGGGGCCCCGCCAGCATGATGAGATCTCAGAGGGAAGGTTCCACTGGTAACAGTCCTCTTCTTTGTACAGCTAGACAGATTTAAGCTCCCTAGAGCAATGCTGTGAAAATATGCAATCATGTCTATAAAAAAAAATCTCTCAGCAAATTGCTGAAATGATTTGATGGCTCAAACAAGGAAGATTTGGAAGAATTGAAATTCCACGAGCTTCCCAATCACAGCCGTTACTTGGCTGAACCGACACCTGTCTATATAGGTTCTAAATTCCTCATCAACTAACACTCTCCCCCTCCCTCCACTTTTTTGGTTCTCTTCAATGCAATAACTTGCACAAAGAATCCTTTAGTTTCCTTAGCAACTGTTTGAAATTTATTTGGTTATCAAAATAAGCTGTTCCATTTTGGAGAGCCCAGCTGAGCCTGCGTGCAGTGATTTGCATGGTTCAAACTGATGGGCAATTTTGATTTCACTGCAGAAAGAAAATGCTCTTCCTAGCCCACCAATCCAACCATCAGAAATGATTGTTTATTCAATGCTTCTTTCCCCTTCGCCATTAATGCATAACACAAGTTCTTGTGGCTTTATGCTGAAAAGCTGCTGTGTTTGGTTTCTGCCCCATAACAATCCTGAAATGGTTACAGCCACTTAAAAAACATGGCATGAATTACAGTTGAATGATCTTCTCAAAGACAGGGTGGATATTTACAATGTGGGGATTATCATACATTTGATTTGTGGAATTAAAAAATATAGATCCTTCAAAAATATTCAAAGATCTGGGAGGGTATATGTTAATTAGCCTGGATTTCTGGGATTTTAATAACTGATATGAAAAGGTTTGGGATTTGAGTGGCTGAGATGAGAGCTAACACTGATTGAGTGCCTCTTCATCACTAGGCTTTAATAGGATAGGTATTCTCATTTTTGTTCTACTGAGGGGCAAATTAAGGCCAAAGGAGAGGGAATGACTGATATGAATGAACAGAAGCCAATAAAAGGAAAGGTCAGGAGCCAAATCCTGAGCTGTCTGCCACAGGCGCACTGTGCCTCTTTCTATACCACAATGCCATTGTGGAGCAGGGGCTTTGAATTTTGGGATCAGAAGGGCCAAAAAATAGGCGCTCACATCAGGGTGAAAGACTTTTCCCCTTAAGGAATGTCTAAGGAACTGGGTTTTTAGCATTGCAATTTGAAACATAAACTTGGACGACACTGATTTGACCAGGGCTAGGGGCAGAAAAAGAAAAAATGAAGAACGATGCAGTCTCACATAAACTATAGGAAGCTTTGTCCCATTTTTCCAGACTGAGGCATTTTTCGTCACAGTAATTGCTTTTGATGCTGACCACTTTCCTGCACTGCATTGCATTTAAGGGGTTTGTAAACAGGATTTCCATTTGCATCAGTAATGACAGATAATCCCTTTAAGCAAAAATACTCCAATTAAAATAAACCAATCAGCTAGTGCAATTTTATTTTGTCTCTTATCTGTACCTCCTGCTCCTTGGGAAAAACTAAACAAAACCTAAGCAACCCACAAACTAATTTCATTAGAGTGGGAGATTTCAGAGAGATACAACTCCTATTGAAAGAATGTCTGATAAAGATCATGGAAGGAAGAAAAGACATTTTAACTAAATGAGACCCTTTATCAATTTCTTGAGGGTTAACCATATTTTGATCTGCGTTTGGACAGGCTGGTCTGAAGGCAGTCTTCACTTTATGGTACTCAGCCACAGCATCTGGCATCTGGCACTATAATCTTACGTGGGCATCACAAGGCCATAAGCAGGACCATGGACAGGGCCAACATTAAAAAAACTTTGTAGTCATGGGTTAGTCATATGATGATTCTGTTACTGACTTCACATGAAGAACTTGCTAATTAGAATGCACTTCAGAGAGAAGCAAGCTCAGCATCCTCCCTTTATAGAGGAGAGAATGAAACCCTGAATGTCTGTTCAAAGGATTTGCTTAAGGTCACACCATAGCTCAGGGGCAATAGCTGAACTTGAACTCAGGGCTCCTGACTCCTAACCTGAGCTTTTCCTTGGACCTGTTCATGCTACATCCCTCCTTATCCTATTATGGGAAAGGAAAGTATACATTTTTCAATAGTTTAACTCTTAAGACCTTTGCAAAGGAGAGAACTAGCTTTGCCCCTCAAAATAGTGGGTAGGGGTTCAGGTTTGGTTTTGTGGAAGTGCCCCCAGTTCAAAAATCCCTTAAAGTTAGTTGAGAGTTTCAGAGGTCATAAGTAGAAACTCCAGCCAAGCATAGGCCACCCTATTAACCAAACTGATGGCTGGAAGGCAAATCTTTGAGAGGATAGACAGGTTCAGGAGCCATGACTCCAAAAAGATGAGAGAGAATATGGAAGCAGTGAAGGTTGGAGGCAGACTGCAGGAACAAAAAGATAAAGCAGGTCACAGCGGAGGCAGAAAGGATGGCTGCCATACTGCCTCGAAGGACAACCAGACTGGCCTGTTAGCACAGACATCTCTCCTAATGCCAGTTTTTATGAGTTATGCTACTTTAGGTAGATAGTAAAGGAATACATGTTTATGGACTGTTAGAAAACCTCCTAGGAAATTCATAACAAGGGTCTCTGGATGTCCCACCCCAGAGTAGTAAACTCCAAATGCAGCCCCCGCCAGTTCTATCTCTGATAGAGAAACATCTGAGTATCACAATACTGTAGGATTTCACATCCACATCTAGCGTAGGTCTGGTGGTGTAGCTTATGGAGACAGCAAGAGCCCTGGACTCACAGATGTGGGCTCATACCCCAGATTCCACCACTGACTGGCTGGGTGGCTCTGGCCAAGTCACTTATTTAATGTGATACTTTGTTTTTGCATTTACAATGGGCAGAAACAATTAACACTGAGCTCGCAAGATCTCTATGAGGATTAAATGTGAAATGCAATCCTCTTGACAAGAAGCCCTGGTGAATGAACATGCACAAATGCTAATAATTACCATTATCATTGCACATGAGGAGGGAGCTCTGGGAAACCAAGTGACTTGCTCAAGGTCACACGATTGGTAGATGCTAGACCTGGCGTCCCCCTTAGACCACAGGGGTCCCTGGATATTTCCATCGGAACACACCACCCACCCCTGTACCACACCCCACTCCCATGCCCATTTGTCCATTCCCTTAAAAGGTTTCCCCAAAAGCGCTCCTCTTGACCGCACCCAAAGATGGCCACCCCGGCAGCATGAAAGCCCACGTGCTTCCCCTGAGGCATGGGATGGAACACTGCTGAGCACCATGAGCCCTGCCCGAGCCCCCCAGGAGCTCACAGTGACACAGATCTGCGATGAGGACACAGGTGGACTGGCAGCCAGCGAGGAGTGTGGCGGGATGGAGGAAGCGCCAGAGCATGGAGCTGTGAGCCAGGCATGGGACGCCCGTGATGGAGGTCTCCTTGGTTCAAAGGCAGACACAGAGGACTCACGACACGCACAACGCAGCAACCCTACCTTCTGTGGCTCCTTTGCCTTTCCTGTCAGGGGTCTCTAAGCCAGTTCCCCCTGAGGGATATAGGGAGACGTCCGTTGGCACAGGCCAACTGCTGGCTGTATCCTCCGTGATCTCATACATCTGCCCCTCCATCGGCTGCAGGTGCCAGTTTAGGCCAAACAGGTGCATGGCTGTGGTGAGCAATGAGAAAAGTCATCTTTTTCTGCTGGAGGGGGAAATGGAACTCCCAAGCCACAGGGGAAGAGTGGGTGGGGTGGGGAAACACAGACATCCTGTTCAGTTCAACAAACCGTCCCCAGGTGAGGGCTCCTGCTGTGCCAGGCCCTGCATGGGGAGGCCAGGGGGTAGGGCTGAGGGTGCAGAGACACGACTGAACCTTGGACCCTGCCCTCAAGGGGCTCACAGTCTGGTGGAGCTGGGAGAAGGGCAGGGACCGGGGAGCCTGAGGAGGCTGTGGCCGTTTCAAAGACAAATGGCAGTCGAGAAGGGGGAAATGGCAATTTGTCTCACAAAGTTAATGTCCTTAATGCAAAAATAACTTCTATGAATAATAAGCAAAGTCCAGTAACTCGGGAGGAAAATAGGCAAGGACCTGAACAGTGTGCAGTGTAAGAAATACCAACAGCTCTTAACCACATGAAAAGACTCTTGACATCATACGTAGGGAAAGAATTGCAAACGCAGAGGTATTACTTGTCTCATACAATTTGGCAAAGATATAAAGGGGTGAAAATATGCTGTATTGGCAGAGACAGGCAGCAAGTGCTCCCCTGCTTTGACGGTGCCAGCGTAAGCTGGCATTTGATGAACAGCTATTTAGAATATACCCTGGGACTGTCAGTTCCCAATTCTAGAAATTTCTCCTTCAGATATACTCACACATGTACTAAATGATGTATGTATAAGGTTACTTACTGCAGCACAGCTTGCAATGGCCAAACATTAGACTCCAGTCCATTAAAGAGAGGCTAGATGATAAATAAGTTACAGCCACAAAACAGGATTACAGAGAACCACAGAGAGGGGCTCCTGATGGATTTTCAGGCAGGAAAACTAGACTATGCAGAAGAGAGTATCTGACTCTCCTTGGTTAAAAACATCCTTATGTGTGTATCCAGGGTCCCAGAAGGTGTGCAAGGCACCCCTACCAGCAGCTGTGTCCTATGAAGGAGACGCTATGGGTCAGTGGTAGGAAGGAATTTACTCGTCTCGGTATCTCTTGTACATTTTCACTTTGTACCACATGGCGTGCATTTGTTTTACAAACATTTCTCTAAGGAAGCCACTGCTAAGTAGTCTTGTACAACAATCTAGGAGACACCAAACAGACCTTCTGTCCTCGGAGAAGCATAATGCTTGAGAAAACTTAGAAACCCATTTCCAAAAAGGTTTGTGACGTTGGATAAAACGTTTGTCTAAATCCCACCTCGGGATTCCACCTTGGGGACTGTCAACAGTGCACACTCACCCCCTTTGGGATGCTGACCCCGAATGCCCACATACGGGGGAATTAAGCACTTGAGTCCCTGGACTCCCACAGAGAATTGGTTAAATGATGACAATTATAAACTGTCAGTGACTGAGTGCCCGCTGTGCCAAAAGTATCAAAAGTGAAAATTCCCTTAAGGTCTCACAGACAATCCTAAACAGTGAGCAGAAGTAACCCCATTTTATACATCAAGAAACTAAGGCACCACAGGAATAATTCACATAGGCAAGGCTAGGTGGCTTACGAGTGGCAGAGTCCAGACTAGAATCCTACACTGTTCAAACCCTGAAAACACACACCAACAGCCTCTGTGCCCAGCGGGTCCAGCACCCCCTCTTGGCCATGCGGCCTCCCTGCAGCTGTACCTTCCCAGGTGGGCCCCAGGGAGATGTCCCTCCTACTCATCAAACGGCCTCTAAGGCCCTTAAGACTCTTGGAGGCAGCAACACAGGCTCCTGTGGGAGAGGATGTCATGTTACCCCACCCCAGTCTACGGAAGGTGTCACTCTGCTGGTTTGGAGGGGCCACGAAAAATTCTGTCGAGGAGGCTGCCCTGTGGAGCACGTCATCTGGCTTCAACCCCGGACGCAGGTGGTGCAGGGGACACACGCAGGCTGGATTTATCCAGGAGGGCGCCCCGGGTAACGGGTACCGGACTGACCCTCTGCTCTCTCTGTGGTTACAGTCACGCTAGGGGAGCTGCGCTCGGCCACAGGCAAGAAGACTGGCCTGGGATCTGAACCGCCCCTTCCTGCCTGCAGGATTCTCATCTGAGGAATGGGAATGCAAAGATTTCCAGATGGTTGCATTAAGTGGGATAACACATGGCGAGTTGTACGTACTCACACGTGTTTTCAGTATTTTTTAACAACTACATCTGTACTCAAGCCGTTGATAGCAATGGTGACAGTGGGAGGTGACATTCACTGAGCACCTTTTTAGGCACCAGGTACTAGGGGGGCTCTTTTACTCTGCTCCCCATGGCCTCCGTAGAGCTGCCAATCATAAAAAAAATTAGCTTGCTTACGTGGAAGGAGTGACTATTCTGCAATTTCCAAGGCTGAATTAGCTCATATTTTCTCTTACCTTCTCATTGTTTTAATGTATGTATTGGCATCTGCAAAGTAATAGAGAAATGGTTTGAACTACAGACAACTCAGACACAGGCAGTTAAATGAGCCTCTTTCCCCATTAGAATCAATTATCTCATCTAAGTGTGCAAAAGCGCTGTCTTGTTAAAAGGTCATGAGAATTAACGAATTCCAGAATGAATAGAACTCTCACCACTTTCTACAGAGAGGAATTTTTATTGTCAAAGCTTCCTCTTATTTTTAACAAGATGCAAAAGTCAGTTCTTGCTTTAAAAAAGATACACTGGGGTGGGGAGAGAGGAGGCCAAGAATGAAAGCATTGCAGGTGAACTGCAGGTCTGGGCGGGGTTCCAGTAGAAGTATGTGGGGACAGGACAGCCCACAGCTGGGTGGGGGAGGTGGAGATGTGGATGTTGGTGTCCCTTCATCTCTGCTTTGTCCACTTGCAATCACAGGGGCCCACATGACCTGAGGATGAAGTGCACCTGAAAACCACCTGGAAAAAAAGGCTCTGTATCCACCTCCAACTTACAGGGATGCTCTCAGGAGACTCAGCCAGACAGAGAATTTAGGACATGAACCCAGGCTCACCAAGACTGGGATGAGCTCTGGCTAGCTGGACGGTGAGACTTCTGGGCAGTAGGAGGTGGCAAACTTCAGATCTTAAGTGCAACCAGCAACATCATCTTAAAGCCAAAAGAACAGAGAGCTCTACTCCATGATCCAGGACCTTGCAATACAAGTCCCACCAGTGAGCCTTCAGTTCTTTCAGTGTATTGTTTGCCGTTGTTGATTTTACAGTGCTGGGAGGGGGGATGGGGAAGGGAGAAGGAACAGTTGGCTCAGTTCTCCTCTTTCCGAAGGACACAGTACCTGCTTGGCCAGAGACTAGCCAGAGAAAACGGAAACTCCACAGAACACTCTTCTTTACACTACAGTAATCAAAATAATAGTGGTGACACACAAAATTGGTAACATTGGAACACATACTGCCTGCCAAATGCTTTACTTAACTTGTGTTGTTCAACTTCATCCCCATACAAAGGTAGATTCAGAAGACAGGCCTGGAGAAGAGTTACAATGGAACTGGAGCAGAATCGGAGCCATGGTGGTTGCTATCCAGGGAAGAGGGTTCCCTCGTCCATGAACCTGCTGTATGTTTGAGGCGAGTCTCAAACTTGGAAGCCTGTGCTCCCAAACCAAGCTTTCTCTTTTTCATGTTGAACTCTTTACTTAACATAGACTTAAACATATGTGTATAAAGTCAATTGAAAATAGCTCTTAGTAAAAAATAAAAGTGGGAATAAGACAGAGAGGAGGAAGAGAGGTGGGAGGGGGGCATGGTGTGATGAATCACCATGTTCCTAAAGTTGTAATTAGGAAGTGTATGAAGTTTGTAACTGTAAAGCTGTATAGTTCTGCATACAGACTTACTTCTAAGGGTATAGTTTAAAAACTAGCCATGGGACCCCAAGCCCCTTTAAGCTGGGTGGTAAAAATACCATCTTAAGTATTAAAGTGATCATATGGATAGGATTAGGCATCTGGTAATAATAATAGAATTAAAAGGAGTGAATGCTTCAACATAGGATGCAGTCCATACAGAAGATTCATAGAATGACAACTGCTTTAAGTAGCACTCTGACCTCAGAATCAGCCCTTAAGGCATTCTGGTCTGGCTGAAAAGTCCATGAGAGCATTTCAGGCATGGAAAGCCAACATATTGTGGCAAAAAAAATGTCCTACATGAAGGACCTTGGTGGGTGAGTCCCCAGTGGAAAAAAGTGGTCATAAAAGAGATACTTTTCTCTAAAGGGAGGAGAGAACTTCCATTTTGCTTATGGCCTCATTTAAATACTGATGGAGTCTGTGGATTCAAAAGGCTTCCACAGTCTAGGCAGCTCAAGTCAAGAGCCTCCGGTGATCACTGACGTCATACATAAGAGTGTTAATTGTTAAATTAACAATAGGAGTCACCATGCACTAACTTTCCATGTAGGACCTCTGTCCTCAAAGAGTTGTATTACAATAATGTCTAAGCACTCACAAAAGATGTATCATTCTTTGATGATTTTTTAAAGTTAATTAAGTTTCAGCCGGCGCCGTGGCTCAATAGGCTAATCCTCCACCTTGCGGCGCCGGCACACCGGGTTCTAGTCCCGGTTGGGGCGCCGGATTCTGTCCCGGTTGCCCCTCTTCCAGGCCAGCTCTCTGCTATGGCCAGGGAGTGCAGTGGAGGATGGCCCAGGTGCTTGGGCCCTGCACCCCATGGGAGACCAGGAAAAGCACCTGGCTCCTGGCTCCTGCCAGGATCAGCGCGGTGCGCCGGCTGCAGCGGCGGCCATTGGAGGGTGAACCAACGGCAAAAGGAAGACCTTTCTCTCTCTGTCTCTCTCTCTCACTGTCCACTCCTGCCTGTCCAGAAAGATATACAATAACTAATAGCAACACTTAAGGTTATTTAAGTTTTCTAAAAAAAGAAGTGAAATTAACTTCAAGATGCAATGACTAAACAGCCCTTGTCTTGACTGTTGAGAAACAGTTGTTTTGTGTGTGTGTGTGTGTGTGCAAATTGTTGAACTCTTTACTT